TATCACCGCAGTGGACAACGCAGTTTTGTCGACTTTGGACTGCCACGTCCCAATGGCGCCGTGCTCAGTTTCTTGCTCCAGAACGTGCACATTGGCAGCTTGCAGTGAGGAAAGCACGTCGGGAATCTCATCGACTGTACGGGCATGGTTGACGCCATACAGAGACTTCATGTCGGAAGTGGTTGGGGGCACGCCGCACCACAATGCATGGTCATCGCTGAATTTTGGGATGAACAGGTAGGATTCCTGAGAGGATATGTCCACGAGTAGATGAAGATCGGGTTGCGTTGCTCCAGTGAGGTAAAAGAAGTTACTTTCTTGTCTAAAAGCGACCTCGGCGTCGGTCCACTTCCTTTCCGTGGTTTTCATTCCAGCAAGATACATGACTCCAGTCGTTATCCCAGCTTCGGCCAAGTTTTTCAGGACCTTCACCCTGTTTTCACGAGCCAAAGAAGCGTACGAGGAAGTGGTCATGTTTCGATTTTGGCTGATGTGAATGCTAGAGTTCTGTTGTCGTGCTCTGAATCTTGGAGCAATGGAGATGGTGGGTGAGTTCTTATAAAACACCCCCCGAGCGACGGCCCGCCACGCGTGCATGCAACGTGAGGGTCAGTCAGTCAGTCAGCAGGAGAGAAAGGCAGCGCAAAGCAACAACAGAAGAAGAACAGCTGACCCCTCCAAACTCTATTTGGATGCGGACGGTGTGAACTTTGCGGGCGCTGTTCACCGGTGTGGTGCAGGAGAAGGCAGAGGACATTCAACGACAAGGGTCCGAACTCCCGAGCACTGCTGTAGCGAGGAAGTCCCTCATCCCCAAGTGTGGCAACTCAAGGAGCACCCCTCTTAGTGGAGCTCATTGTGCGCAAATCTGGCTTCCCCACTCTGCATTGCAAGCTACAAGGAGAATGCACCTGGTTAGGGTATTGTGCTCAGGCTGGCAACTACTCGTCACTAAGGAACAATATCCATGGACAGGTTTCGAATTGAACACAACAATCTGGAGCTTGTCAGCTGCAATAAATCCTTCCTGTACGATGTTAAGAGTTTCTTTCTGTACCGTTCTTGTAGCTGTTTTCTGAAGGGTATTGTTGACGTGTTCACTCAAACTGTGACGCTCTCCGCTTTGTCATTGTTCATGTGGCTCCTCCGATCAGGCTCCGATCCTCCCTCAATGTCTTATCGAATAAGCAATGTCGTCGGAGTTTGGGTCATTTGAAGCCCAGTTCCTAAAATAAAGCACCCCAAATACCACTACCAAATTATTAAGGTCCCTCAGCAAAATATAATTCGTGTGAAACCCTCACCAGTGCATCAGTTCAACCGGCTTTTGGAATCAGCGGTACTGACCGGAAGAGCTCGGCTCAGTTGTATGGTCTCGGTAGTTCGATGGCTTCGTCACAAAGGAGTCTATACGACTGCTTAATTGCTGTTCGGTCCCTGAGCCAGCAGGTACAGCACATTCAAGTCCAAATCGAGAGCCTCCTCGACCAAGTTGAAAGCCATGTGCTCAAAGGGGAAGTCAAGGTTCCTTTAATGGCTGGGGGTTCGTTCGCGGAATCAAACATACCCCTCCTGGCCGAGGTTAAGCCGCGGCTTCTTGTGGGGCTACCAAGGAGGCAGTCACTCAATGTGCACCGGTCGTGGGCGTCTCTAAATGGACGACATCCTGTCGTGTTTGGGGATAATCTGCCAGTTCTGAACGACGAAGCTATCGAGAAATGTATCAGCCGCAGCAGTGTGAACGAGGAGGGTCAGAACAATGGAAGTGGAAGCGAAGCCGATATTGAGCAGCGAGCGCAGGGGCCTCAAACGCTCGATGTACCAAAGCACAGCATCTGGTCAGGTTCCACCACCAGCTTGAAAAGTGCAGCGGGGAAGAGAAAAGGCTCAAAAGCTATGTCTTCGGAGGACACGTATTCCGGGCCGGTGATTGGCATTACACCTACTCAGCAACGAGCCAAGATTGAGAAGGAGAGGGAGAGAGCGTTGGAAATGCAACGCTCCGACAGCGCCAATGCTTCTGCCCTAACGCGGAGAAAATCATCTGAAATCGGCCGAAACAATACCCTCCCGCCACTCGATAGACCGGATGTGCTGCCAAGATATCCAGCAGGTATTCAACCCGGATTGAGTCTTGCATTTAGCGAAGGGATGCTCAATTCCGGTTTATTCTTCTTGACGCAATGTGTAGATGATATGGAGGCTGGTCAAGAAAGTGCGCACAAAGCTGGTCATGCCATCCCGCAGAAGGCGATTCCATCGCATCACCTGGTTCCTGTCAAACGTCGCAGAAAGCATACGGCCACGATAACTTCCTCGGCATTTTCAGGTTTAACCTCTGTTTTTAACCGATGGTACTTGGATTATTGCACTATCCCGCGGTATACGGAGTTCATGGTCCCATACACCCAGGCTGAGATGGCAGACGTTTACAAGTGGGCGGCCTCGCACCCGTCGGGTTGGATGTGGCACCCGAGATCTATGGCAAAGGCTGTTTGGGAGATTGTGATGGCTGGTAAGCAACCCTGCGCCCGTGAGAGAGTTTCTCGTTACCATGCGGAAGCTCACTCCTCATGATCGAAAATTCGTTTAGTGGTGATCGTGTAAGTCGATGTGCAATCCTTGTCTTTCGTTATTGAGCATGGCGATCTGTCGTGAATGGTTGGCGTACCATTACATACTAACATGCTCGATTGTAGGTGGTGTATCGGCTATATTCCGTTCGTCGTCAGTTTTGCACACGACATTGGCCATCTGCCGTTAGTCAGCGTGCTTTTAACGATCGTGTTTTCCGTAGACACTGCTCTCAGCTGGCTCATGATGCCCAACGGGCCACATACAAGAAACTGGCTTGTCGGTATTGCCCTCACGATCTGTCGCGACGTATTGACGATCATTCCGTTCGACAGAATGGTGGATGGAGAGCACACGGAATGCTTCCTTTACTTTCGTTTACTACGCGCGCAAAGCTTGTATAGCATTGTCAGGCACAACCCGATTCTCAGGCAATTTAGCAGAGGGGTGCAGGCAACTCTCGGTGTAGGTGATAGTTTCACGGCTCTGCTCATGTATGTGGCAACCCTGGGAGCATATTTCCATGTCTTTTCCTGCTCTATATTCCTTCTGGGAAGGGTTTACGCTTATGAAGGCTGGGAGGAGACGGAATACCTGATCCACAATTCCGTCGCCGCACAATATACGTTCGGGATGTTTACTGCCGCTTTCCAAGCGGAAGCATTTAGGTATGGAGAATCATGCGGTTTATGATGTGCTTTATGATGCGCTTCTCGGCGCAAGTGTTCCCCTGAAAACTCCCTGTTGATCTTTCGCTTTCACGTTTTGCCCTCAGACCGAAACAGATGGGCGAACAATGGAACCTAGTCCTTTCCGCCATCATTTCGGCAGCACTGCATGGAGCAGTACTTGGAACAGTGGCTTCTCTCATGAATAGTCTGGACCCTATGGGACGCATGTACAAAGCAAAGATTGAGGAAGTAAATGAGTACATGAAATACAAAAACCTCGACCAGGGCATTCGCAAGAAAGTGCGGGAATACTTTCATCTAAAGTATCGTGGAAAATATTTCAACGAAGCCACGCTCCTCAGCGAACTGAACGATAGCTTGCGACAGGTACCGACTCTATCGGATGCATGGCAAAGCCCATATATTAATCGATTTCCCAAACGTGCCCAGGAAATCGTCATAGCCAATTGCCGAGAGCTAATAACGCAAGTCAGTTTCCTTTCCCGCAACGTCGGCGACGGTCGCGATGAGCACTTCTTGGGACAAATAGCTTCGGCGCTGAAGCCTGTGTATTATGTCAAGGGTGACACCATCTTTGAACAAGGCCGGGTAAAGGAGCTTTGCTCTCGCCATCAATGACTGTTTATCGGAAATGATCTGATACCCGCTTTTTTTCCCCCCCTTCTATATCAGGTCGGAAACGAGATGTACTTTATCATATTCGGTTCTGTGGAAGTGATCATTGGGGGCAAGCAGATCGGCAGCCTTACGAGTGGCGCCTTCTTTGGAGAGGTTGCGTTACTTGGCCAAACGCCACGCACCGCAACCATCAAAGCCTCGTCCAATGTCATGGCATATCTTCTAGATGGCAGCGATTTTGATGTCATTGTTGCTGATTTTGACGATATGGCGATGAAAATTCGGAAGGTGTATGAGGAGCGGATGCACCGGAACAGCGACGAGCAAAAATCGGCTGGTGCTTCGGGCCCGGGGATTGACAAATCCGCCCAGGTACGCTACTAGGACCACCGCACGATCAGAAAGTCTACTAACGATTCAGCTCTCATGTTCACAGATGTAGGAAACAGAGGGTTGACCACAGTCGTTATATACCTTATACACTTTTCTTTTAACCACGTGTAGGAAACGGTTGTGCTGGCCATGTACGCGTATTACTACAACTTGAGAGACTTTCATCATAGTCAATAGTGAGTTTCCCACTTCCGGGGCTGTATTCAGAGCAGAGGTCCGAACACATACCTTTATGGAAAGAGAAAAAAACAATATCGCGAAAGGCAGCCCTGGCTGCAGCAGTGCCGACAAGGTTGTCAATCTGTTTAACAGTATGGACAACGGGGCCGCGGCATTCTATGTATTGTAGACCCACCAGACCTGGAATCGCCGATCGGGTCCATTGTCCACTGTCCGCATACAACATTGAACTGCCCGTCTGGACACGGTACGGGCGACATATTGCCCCGTCCCCTCTAGCGGCCCGCACTCGAAAGCGTGGCGTGTGCATGCGCCTTGAGAACGCAGCTTCCATATCGGCCGTGCCTGCGGAACTCTATGGCTTGACGTTACCGACGTTTCGGTAGCGCGACTTCGTCAGGCTTATCGCGACCTGTACATCCTCTGACTTCGTCGTGGTCACGCGCAGATCAAATCAAGGCCAAGTTCAAGCACGTCTGTGTGCGGCGCGCCGCGTCATCCACATCCAGGGCAGCAAAAAACAAGCGCCAAACGAAAATTCAATGCCTACTATGCGGATTGAACGCATGACCTTCTGCTTACAAGGCAGACGCACTACCACTGTGCTAAGCAGGCTCTTGGTTCCCAGCAATGGGATGGCTCTACACTTCTCTCACTGAGACTAAGCGGGTTCTCGATTCTCATCCTGCGGTGGATGTGATGGCAGAACGCTACGACCGTTGAGATACCGTGTTAAGCTGGCATTCGAGTCTCAAAAGTAGATGTGAGGGCAGAAAGCTACTACCATTGTCAGGCGTTTCAATCTTCCTGTCGACAGCAGAACGCTACTAGAATCCCGGTTGAGCACTCTCCCTCTACAGCGATTGGCAATATATAGTTTAGACAGACAGTCTCTTTCCGAGGCAGACCCTCGGTGCAGAGGCGACTCGCGTCTTTATGATCGTTAGTAAGTGACACTTCACTGCCTCTAGAGTACTGCTCACGCCGGCCAGATGCAACCAAATTTACGTTGGTCTAGCCTTCTACAGTATCTACAGAATGTACATTCCTTTTCGTCAAGTGAGCTTAAGATAACAACCGGTCTTCATACTTTGGCGCACAACGTAGAAGGCGCCCAGCCAAACGGATAAGAAGTATGGTAGCTTCTTGAACCCACTTGACGAGATGCGATGAGCAAAACAAGAACCCCTCTTGTGCCTCATCGATGCCCCACATTCCTGCCTCCTCGTTGACGAGCTCAGACGTTATAATAATTAATGATTACAGCGTTTAAGAAGACTAGGCATACACGAGCGCTCAAAAAAGGAAAACGAGAGGGAAAGTACGCTGTCAGTTGTGGCGGCGCTGGCTGCGCCACTACAAGACGGACGCGCACTGTTCTCTTCAGATCGGAGAGGGCAGGCTACAAATTATGAATTTGACACATTGTCCAACAAAACTCTGACTCAAAGCATGGGCGATGGCATAGTAGATGGGCTGGTTCACGATCGCATCGACAAGAAGCATTACGCCAATAATTACAGTGTAGAAACCGTTCCAGTCACCCATCTCCACCGATTACTGCCTGCTAACATCTGGTCTGTGAGGGCCTCCATATCATCATAATCCTCAAAGTTCGATCCCCTATGTATGTTGCTCGTGTCTCCAAATATGCTATCTGCTCTATCAAACACGACCATGTATGCGGGAGTTCCGGCAGACGAGACAGAATCCCCCTTGCCCTCTTCCTCTGCGTCAGTCAACATGATAGACCACATCGAAGGCTCAAATCTTCACAAAGCATGGTGGAGTCAATAAACAATAGGATGTTGGCGACAGCGCAGCAAAAAGAAAGACACACTCACCCTGTCACCATGCCAGCTAGAGCCTTACCAGTCTCGCTAGAGAATCGAGGAAGGACAAAGCGGTAGAGAACTGTGGCTGCATCATCTACGATGCCATCTCCTTCCTCCGAATCACTGTAATGCTCCAAAGCCGCCTGGACCAGGGTTCGCAGTCCTTCACCAGGCATCTGCAGAACATTTGCCTTCACCAAGCTCCAAAGTTCAAGAATCCGATGTAAGCGTCGTAAACGACCAACTTGTTCCTCCAAAGGCAGTGCCGCGTCCACGAAGGAATCCTGTGGCGCATTTTTAGCATACCATGTGATGTTCAGGACTAACAATCATAGCTATAGGAACTGTGTACCAATTGATCCCAGCTGGCTAGTTCGTTGCCTGTGTGGGTCGGACGGTCAGTAAGCGGAGAACGAAAGTAACATCATGCCTTCATCATCCCACCTATCAGATGATAACAGTAATCCCTCTTGAGCTTCCATATTCCAATTTCTACTATGAGCTCTAATGGTTCCTCTAACCAATAATCAAACGTGCGGCTGGTGGCTTCTTTTTGGTCATCATAGTCTGGAGCTGTTTGCATCCGTACGAGTTTGTAGCAATCTCGAATTACTCGTGCAAAGCTAGAATGATTTGTCTTGTTCACCTGTCACCAGCGCATCAGTTGAGCTGCGAGCACCACATCACTCAGAGGGTCCTACCATTGGCTGTAGCTTTCCTGTTTCCAACTCTTCGATGACACCATTGAGTGCAATGACCAGATCCCCACGACTGGAGGTGTGCTCTGTTTGTGTCCTCAGAGTTATGTGATTTCCAATAAAGTAGTGCAAAAAATCATTGCAAGTACCTTGTGCAAAGTTCCAGAATCGCTCGGGGAAATCTAAATCTTGCCGCGGCGTCAACGCGTTGTGCGAGTCAAGATCAAAGGTAGTGTTTTCGCTCCCTTTCACAGTCTCTGCCATCACAAACCCTTCGTCCTTGATCTCTACAGCAAGTCATGAGCAAACAGAATTGTTTGGACATTTCAAATGATGCCTACGCTTCAACCACTCATCAACCAGATTCGGCGACATCCGAGAATCGGGGGCAAATTCTGTTCCATCACTGCCAGAACTCCACTCATCTCCACATCGTATTCTATCCCACTCCGATAACTTCTGTAATTCCTTTCGGATTAGTGCGGTAGGAAGTTGGTTCTCGGTGTCCACGTCGCCGGGTACGCATCTGATGCGCTGAAAGTCGCACCCGCTGTAAATTAATGATAGGAGCCGCTCGGTAAACGAAACACTGTCTTACCATTGTAATGTGCGCTGACGGCGGAGGTCCAGACAACAGCTTGTGAGTGCCTTTCCAAACCGCGTCCAGTATTATGGAGCTCAGAGGGCTGTTTGCCCCAGTCTACCAAATCTTACTAGATAAGATAAACATCTAAAGCGCAACGCTGGTGCCTTGAAATCATACCTTGAATAAGCTTTCCGCCAGGATGTCGTACTTTGCGCGAAAAAGAGATTGAAGTTGGAGGTCATTCTGCTTGCAAATCATTAGACGATACAGCTTGACCGCGTACTGAGGTTAGGTGCTTACATTGGCGGGAGCTCCTCCCAGTTGTAATCGACTATCGTCGATTACGCTTCTTGTAGATGGAATGGGGCCGCAGCCCTGTTCGTCTTCCTTCGAAACCCACCCTACTCATGTTGATGAATGATTTGGGTACTGAACGCGTAGACATCTAAGCTTTACCGCCAGCGGAGAGATGATATATAACGGTACAGTGATCGTTCTCAGTGTGAAGACTCTGTGCCCCAAGATATGATTTGGATGGAGGTGACTCGTGCAGACCATTGTTTGTAAGCACAAAGAGTGGTGATATCCTGGCTGCTGCATCGATGTCCAAACTTCCCAGACTGCAGAACAGCGCCATGATATATCTGCGACCGAAGCAAGTTCAGAACACTCACAACCCGCGCAGCTCAGAAAGATTGCATAATTCACCTTGCCAGATCCAAAGTAACCGGGGCGGAGATATTCTTGTTGTAGGGAATCTCTTTCTCGCAAAAGGCTCCATCTGATTGCTGATGACTAACACCAAGAAGGCCGCTCGCATTCGTAGGCTTATGTCCAACATCTACGCTGATGATGTTATATAGGTTTATACGCTCCTAGATATTCGACCTATGAGTTCACGTGCGAAACCACTTGAAGCGTGTGAAGGCTTGCGCTTCACCTCTTCCCCGTCATGGAGTGGGTCAGATCGTTTGGAAATGAGGAAAAAGCTTTCTCCCGAATATATTGCTCGTAGCGGGTGACTTATGCACGGTCGTATCAGCCATATCCAAACACCGTCGAGGCCTATTCCCTCAAGAACCTGTCGGCGCGCGTTTGCGCTGACTTGAGTGTCCCATCGAGAAATTGCATAACGAACCTCTTTGCTGCTCATCCCAGTACCTCAAGGTTCTCATTGGCACGCTCAACACAGCTTTTTAAAGCATTTCGTAGGTTTGAGGCGTCCTGAGCGAACGAGGCAGTCGCTTCTTCACTCGACCCTTCATGTGCGGACAGCATTTCCTTTGTGTTGTTGGCTGCTCACAAGCGAGGCTCTGTCGCTATCGCCAGAAGTATAGAGAATCGTATCAAGACAGAAATCGAGTTCGTGAATGAAGTTCTTTGCGAATCCGCGTCGCGATCTCTGCGCAACACATCCGCGCCCATAGGCCATAATATCTTGGACCAACTCTGGTTTGGCGCCTATTTTTTCACCTATGCCTGTGATGCAATGTAAATGTGGTGCGATGGTATAAAAACACATTTTATTTTGGTGTTCCAAGATGCATATTTGGTGAGGTCGTGCATCAAATCCATCCCATCCACCCCTCATACATCATTGCCAAACGGTCGATGTTGACAGCTTCGCCGATTACCCTATCAACCTATGTATGCGCGTGCATCACTTAGTTGTTGTTCGAAGGGTTCAAAGTGCAGCAGCCGGAAAATCAGCTTACCTGTTCGCTGACACTCAGCTTTTGTTGCTCCGAAGACTCCCTGCCGTCGAGTTTTGCCTTTATTCGCTGTAAGACACCCACGGCGTAAGCGTTGCGCTCTTGCCCTTTGGGTCCAGAAGTTCGGCCTTCTCCAATTTGCTCAACGTGATTATTGTGGTTGGAGGGCTCAGAGGACATTGCATCTACCCCTTCATCGCCGAGAAGTTCCCCAGAGACCGGCAATTGGTCGAAGCTGTCCTGTGGAGAGACTGATTTCAATGGGATATCTGCTTCATCAACAGCGACCCTGTCTTTCATGGCGTCCAAAGAACGGGCATCCATTTCTTCTTCAGCGTCCGGAGAGCCTTGTGGGTCCATAGCAAGATGGAATGGGGTTCCGATTGTGCGGCCTTCGTCGGGATCGCCATTGTCGTTGTTTGTGTTAATTTGGAGCTCCTTCAAAGAAGCAAAGGCACACATGGACTTCAAGCAATGCTGTGCATGAGCTCGTAAACTTTCCAAGATGCTTAGCTGGTAAAGTGTCAGGATATCGAACGGAGACTCCCATGTCAGTGGTGCTGTCGGTAGTAACAGTGTCCTTACCATAAGTGACCCAGGTTCAGCTTCCACTTGATTCCCATCTAGACACGACGCTTTTGCAATGGGAAGCTGCACGTTAACCAGGCTCACAATCTCCTTCCATTTGCTCATGTGCTCCTACGTAGTTTAATCGCGTCAATACTCTTGACAACTTTTCACAAGCGTACCCTCAAGAATCTACCTGTAGGTCTTCTTTGAGGGC